CCTGCCCCTTAGTAAGCTGGCTAGGGGCTATTGGGCCAGACCTGAGCAGGTATAAACGAACAAAAGATAGTTTAGAATGAAACCAAATGATGACCCCATGAATGTTCCCTAAATAATCATATTAAAAAAAACCACTAAATAATCCTACAGGATGAGGAGGTATTTAAAAACATGAAATTCAGTATGCTTAGGGTTCAGGGATTTATGCACATTCTGCTTCTGACTCTGCCTTTGGCCAAGATACCTGTTCTCCCTCTGACTCCAACTTGTATGTCTAAGGAAGTTGTTAAGACTTTGGGGCGCACTCAAGCGCTGGACCCTTCTTCCATAGTGAGGGTTTGCGATGAACCAGAAATGCAGTCCAGTTAAACAGGTGTTCTCGCTGTTGTACAATAAGTGATTGCAGTGAGTAATGTGAAACATTGCTTCCTATGGCACTCACTTAGCAAAGAGAATAAGTCCTAATTTTAAAAGAGGGTAGTATTTTATTGAACTTCCAGGGCTGGACCCAGTTACCCACATACAGTGACAAGTGATGACCAGTACTTTCTCTTGGGGGGAGTGCCTGGGGTCCCAAGACCCTGTGCTTGAGTCCTGATCTGTGGCTGCCCCTTAAGTGGCAAGCCTCCCATCTTCCTATGTAAACTGGAATGATGTCACACACAGACTGGTGAGGCTTACCTGACTGTAGTCATAGTTCAGTAACTTGCATCTAAGAAAAACAAACTCAAGCTGTAACTGTAATTATCTTCTACGCAGTTTAGTGGGTAAAGAGCCAGTAGATAGAAAATCTGTTCCTTCCAGGCTTTGGAAGTGCAGAGACCTTGTATTAGAGACTGAACCAAGCCTGTGTATTGATCTGGAAAGTTTTTGTTCATCCAGAATCCTGGGCCAGACTTGGAAACCTTTCTGAGATGTCTGCCTATGAAAACTTGGGGGAGGTGGCTACCACGTCTTCTATGGAAATGGTCTCTCTAGTAACCTGGATACTCTTTTCTAATGAGCCTTGGAAAACTTTCCTAATGCTAGATGTCTAGTAAGCCCCTCTTTCTCCCAATTGTCTTCACTTTATCTAGATCAAATTGATGCGAGTGGGAAGTGGGGGCAGCACCATGAACCTCTGAGTGTATATTATTGTATATTAAGTTTCTGGAGCAATAGCACAGTGGGCAGGGCGTTTGCCTTGAACGCAGCCAACATGGCTGACCCAAGTTCAATGCCTCCGCCCCTCTTGGAGAGCCCGGCAAGCAACCAAGAGTATCTCGCCCACATGGCAAAGTCTGGCAAGCTACCCATGACATATTCAATATGCCAAATACAGTAACAAGTCTCAAAATGAAGACGTTACTGGGCCTGTTCGAGCAAATCGATGAACAACGGGAGGACAGTGACCATCATGAACCTACCTCTCAGCAACAAAGGCATGCAACTGTGGAAAGTCAAAGTAATTATGAAATAGGGGAGGAAAAGGCAATCCCCGATGCCAGCAGCTTATTTTCTTACTTACAAAACAGCTCAACTGGGCCTGTAGAGGTAGTACAGTGGGTAGAGCATTTGCCTTGCATGTGGCTGACACAGGTTTTATCCCTTGATTCCCACATGGTCCCCTGAACACCACCAGGAATGATCCCCAAACGCAGAGCCAGGAGTAACCCCTGAGCATCACCAGGTGTGGCCTCCAAATAGAAAACAGCTAGACTGGTCCTTAGTACTACCGTCTTAGCCCCTTTCATGTCCGGAGGGCTTCAGAAGCAAGACCAATAAACTGCTTCTTAGGGGTGACCTTACACTGAATTCTCTGCTGGCTGAGCCAAGGGAGAGAGTTGCTCTCTGGCAGAACCACTGCGAAAAAAATTTTGTTGCTTATTATTCTGGAAAATCATCGGGGCTTCAGCCATAGCACCATTGGTAGGTGCTTGTTTTCCATGTGGTTGATTCAGATTTGATTCCCCAGCACCTGAGAGTCACCTGAGCCCTTCCAGGAGTAAGTAATCCCTGAGCACAGAGCAAGTAGTGCGCCCTGAGCACAGCCAGGTGTGTGCCTCCCCCTCCCACCTCATCAATAGTTATTAGAAGCTAACGCAGAATTGGTAATCTTATGGATACCCTGCACCCCCATTTAATTCCCAAAGTCCTCAGAATGCCTAAATCTATCAATCTATCTATCTATCTATCTATCTATCTATCTATCTATCTATGGGGAGGGGTGTTACAGACATCCTGTGGTGCTCAGGGCTTATTCCTGGCTCTGTGCTCAGCGACCACTCCTGGAGGGGGCTGGGAGGTTGAACAGAGTCTACTGCTTTCAAGGCAAGCACCTTCCGGCTAGCGTGGTGTCTACAACCCTAGAATGCCCACATCCTGAACGTGTTGAGTAATTCCTGGCTACCTACTTACCTCACCTTGGACTTGTTCCAGAGGGTAACCACTGCGGAAGGGGGGGGGGGGGTTGGGGAGCACAAATCAGACTGGCACTATCACAAAAAAATCACCTAGAGCTCTAGAAGTGGGGTGTGTGTGTGTGTGTGTGTGTGTGTGTGTGTGTGTGTGTGTGTGTTTCTTTAAGTTATGCACTGAGGAGGCCAAAAAACGATAGTACAGCTGGTAGGACGTTTGCCTTGCACGAAGCCCACCCAGCTTGGATCCCTGGCATCACATATGGTCGTCCTCTCCCTCCTCCCTCCCATCCCTTTCCCCCACTCCCCAGCACAGAGCCAGGAGTAACCTCTGAGCATCGCCAGGTTTGGCCCAAAACTAGTTATCAGAGAACATGCAGCAGCAAACTCTCCATCCTTTGTCTCCCACAGGTTTCCCGGGTAGAGACAATCCTAGACCCTGTAAGGCGGGTTAGCGACCTGCAGAGACGGAAATGGCTAATTACCACGTCCCCTTTCATCTCCCTGAGCTGTTTAGTTCTGGACACCAGTGGCCCCGGCATCTGCGCTTCTCCTGAACTGGACCCGACCCACGCGCCTGGAGCCCAGGACTCCGATGTCGGGTCTGCAGTTCGGGCCGACGCCGGGGGGTCGCTCCCTCGCACCCTCGCCAGCTCGGATATGAAGGATGGGCGCAGAGCCCGAGCGCTGCTGCGTGCTGTCCAGCGCCGGGGCGTGGCATGGGCGTCCTTGTAGCTTTTCCCTTAGCTCTGCGCGTTTTCATTTTGGACGGTGAATGGTGGGTAGGGGTGGGGACAGCGGACAACGACTCCGTTTTCTAAAACACTTGGCCACGTCTCTCGCCTCCTGCTGGCCCATTCATTTGCTGGAGGTGAAGTTCCTTCTCTCTACTGGAATTTTCAGACTCTCCACCGTTTGTGAAATGAATAAAAGTCACCCACCAGAGGGACGGGCGGGGGGGGGGGGTGGAAGCCACTGCCGGGCCTCCAGAGATAATGGGGATCCGGCTTCCTCCCCGCCCGGTCGCCATGGTCCCCTTCGGCTTCCAGGTAAGATGAATGTCCTTTCATCCATCATCCTTAGTGAGCCTCTTCGCCCGGCGACCAGGAACCCTGCTCGTCGAGGAAACCTATTAGCCCCGGACTGGATGGGGGCTTTGTGGGCGCCCGCCAAGCCTTCACTGTAGCCTTTGTCCAAGGAATTTGAGCATTTACATAACGCATTTAGCGCGGGGACGCTGCCCAGGGGCTGGACCCCTGCGTGCCCAGCCTAGCAAGGCCCGCGCGTCCAAGCGCGCTTCCCCCAGGACCCATCTTGGCCACTGCACCTTGACCACCTCCGTTCTGCTGCGCTGTAACTGAATGCCGCCGAGTTTCGGTGCGGGGGGAACCCAAGCTGGGTGATGCGACTCGAAAATGCGAGAAACAAACCATGGCCCTTCCGGATGGACGTTGGGGGCGCCTTCTCGGTTTTTTTGTTTTGTTTTGTTTTTTGAGGTTGCTAAAATCTCAGGGCTAGGACAGATGGGGACGTTACTGGTGCCCCCGCTCGAGCAAATTGATGAAGAACGGGATGATAGTGATACAGTGATTTTTTTTTATTTTGGGTTTTTTTTTTTTCATTAAGACGGTTGGAGGGGTGCTGCGTGCTCAACGGTCACTGGAATGCGGAGACGCTTCGGGTTCTAACCGCCTGCGCGCCGCCCCGCCTGCTGCTCCTGCACCCTCGCGCCGGCTCAATGCTGGGGACCTTGGGATCCTTTAAATGGGGGGGGGAGAGGCAGGGATCTGCAAGGTGGAGTATAAAAGGAAATCCGCAAGTTTTCCGGGAGCACGCTACACAACGGGCAAAGCAAATGCAAACACGTTCGGGCAGCCGATGCCCGGGAGATCTGTCTTCTTAGGGCGGTGATTCTGATGAGAAGTTACGTCCCGGGGATTCCCACCGACCAAAAAAAAAAAAAAAAAAACCGCGAAGTGCGCGACATGCGCCCCCAGGCCGGACAGGTGCGATAGCTTTGGAACTCTCCAAAGCCTGGACGCGCTCGGAGCTCCAACGCCCAGAGGCGCCCGCGTTGGGCAGGGCGTTGCGGCGCAGAACCACGGGGCCCGGGGACTGGCCACCTGGTTCCAAGCTGCAGAAGGTCCCGCGGGTCCCACGCGGCGAGTGGGGCTCGCCGCCGCCGCCCAATCAGCGCTGTCGCTGGGTCTGTGACGGCGTTCGGCCCCGCCCCCCTCGACGGCGATAAAAGGCCCCGGCGAATGCGGCCCCGCAGAGCACCCAGCGCTGAGCTGCGCCCCGACCCTGCCTCCAGGTGAGCCCCATTTGCCTCCTCGCCGCACTGGGAGTCGCGTAGCAGGCAATCAGCAGCCGCTTGACGCTCAGCCTGGCGGGCCGGCCAGCCCGGTGCAGCCCCACCAAGCGTCTCCGGGTCTTTCCCATCCCCGACCCCCCTCTCGCAGGCGCTTTCGGCTGCGGCGTCGAGCCACCGGGCTGCAGGTGAGCTGCAGTCCCGCGGCCCAGTCGGGCGAGCTCACCTGGGCCGAGCCGGCCGGTGCCGGAGAGGCCGCGGGCCCCTCTCAGTTGCTCCCTTTGCCTTGCAGGATGAAGAACCCGATGCAGGAGGTGGTGACCTTCCTGTTGGAGAAGCTGCTCCTCATCTCCAACTTCAAGCTGTTCAGCTCGGGCGAGCCGGCCGAGGACAAAGCCAAGGGCCGCTTCTACGACATCAGTTCTTTCCTTCGCGGCGACGTGCTGGAGGTGCCCCGGATCCACTTGACCCATTACGGTATCTATCTGGGCAACAACCGTGTCGCCCACCTGATGCCCGACATCCTGCTGGCCCTGACCGACAACCAGGAGCTCACGCAGCCGGTGGTGTCCAGCAAGCGTCTCCTGCTCGGCGTCATTAGCAAGGTGGCCAGCATCCGCGTGGACACGGTGGAGGACTTCGCCTACGGAGCCGACATCCTGGTCAATCACCTGGACAAGTCCCTCAAGAAGAAGGCGCTGCTCAACGAGGAGGTGGCGCGGAGGGCGGAGAAGCTCATGGGCTTGTCTCCCTACAGCCTGCTGTGGAACAACTGCGAGCACTTCGTCACCTACTGCCGATTCGGCACCGCGATCAGCCCCCAGTCCGACAAGGTGCGCTGCGCCACCCCCTGGCGTCCCCTCCCTTCCCTAACGTTTTCTCTCCCCGGAGAGCGGGGGTGGAGATCTTCCTCCCGACTTCCTAGCCTCTTCCGCCTCCCCTCCTCCCCGCCGCTTCCACACCGTTCTTAGAAGTTCTAGATTAAGTCTTGGGCGCTTTGATGTTCCTAAGACAGACCTGATAAAGACGCGAGCGAGGAGCCTGTCCTGGGGCCCTGGAAATTGGCAGTGCAAGAGCGTGGCAGAGCCCTCTAGCTGCCAGCAACTCCCACAGCTGCCCCGGGGTTACTACGGAAGCGGGATGGCCAGCGGCAATAGTGGAAATGACAAATGACAAGTCACCTGACTTGGGAAGCGTTGCAGACATAGCCGTATGCCCAGTTTTCCCCCAAGCATCGCAGTGAGAAGGAAGTTGCTTAGGATTTCGGTTAAGTCCGTCACTTCCTGTCTAAATTGCTAAAGAAGCTTGCAGTTTTTTTCCCCCTCCTCTCTAAACTGCAGTTTTAGACGCTACCAACAGTCTTAGGAAAGGCTCCTTAGATAGACAGTCTTGGGGCGGTACTCCAGCAGGGAATTTTGAAACCCCTTGCTATTCTAAATTCTTTGTTGGCTTGAATCCCCTCATTGTGAAACATCCCTTATCCATTTAGCCCCGAAGGTGAGTTAGATTGTTTATGGGATGCCCTGGAGATAAGAAAAACAAACAAGCAAAAAGAACTATTGGTATCCAAGAAGGGCAATTAAATAGAACAGTATCAGAATTTAAGATGATTCAATTAGGCACACATCCTGGCAAGTGGTGGGGGAGGGGGAGGCTGAGCTTTTAAGTTCTTTTGAACCCACTTTTTTAGTGGGGACTGGGGGAGGTGTACTTGGTCACACCTGCCCAAGCTTAAGTTCTGTTCCTGGCTCCTGCTGAGGACCCAAAGGTGCTTGGGAACCATGCCTGGCTTGAAATCAGAACCAGGACCTCCTGCCTACAGACACTAAGCTCTCAGCTCTGCGGGAAAGCTCTTAACTTTGAAAGACAGTTCTCAATACTCTAAGTCTGCGGTTTAGCTTGTAAATGGAGGCTTTCCTACCTTCATTGTGTTTGCTAGAGAGCTATAAACATTACTCTTCTTAGTGGAAAACAGGGTAATCACAACATATCTCATCTTTTACTCATGTTCAAATATCTTTTAGACCAAAAGAATCTAAGTCTGTGTAACCATTTTAAAAGTGTATTACTCTGCATCTTGATCCAGGTTTTAACTCACCTAAGAGAATCTTTCTAGCTCCTCTCAGTAGTGGAGCATGGGTGTATATGCTTTCTGTTGATCAGTATATGAAATTCTTGGTAGATTTTTATAGAGCCACAACAGAATTCAGTCTAAGAATTCTTTTCGAGGAAAAGTAGATTCTGAGCACCGGACAGTGACTTGGGAATCACAGCTCCCTTTCAGTCCTGTTTAAAAACAAACATCCCCACATTTACAAGCTCTAAATGTACAGAAGGAAACCCAACAGATTTGCTTGGGACTAAGCAAATTATTTTTCTAAGGAAAAACCTTTTTTCTCCCAGTAATTTGGAGTTACCCTTTCGTGGAACACATACAGTACTATATGTATGTATTTTGACAGTACAAGTACTTTTAAAAGTGATAAAATATTTAATCTGCCCAAATAAGTAGTTTGCAATCCTTTTTATTCTTTGGAAAGTTTGTACAGTTTTATAGGTGTAGGGAACTGGTTTAATTGCTGTGGCTGTTGTGTACCTCTTGTGAAATAGTTCTTTGTCTTCTTTTGAATGGTCAAACAAGCCTTTTGACCACCCTGTAGATTTCTTGGGGCGGGGGAGGGGGAATCCCCACCCCCCAATTTCCCATTTTTAAGAACTTTTCTTTTTGAATGAGTCCTGAGTGAGGTAAATAGATCATTAATACTGAAAGAGGTTTTGCTTTTCAGAAATGTCAAGAATTGATTCCAGGTCAGATCACTGAATTCTTCATATATGCAACTATCACCTGCTAACAGGAAAGCTGTACATTGTCTCTTAATTAAATGAGTTTACAAGAACTCTCCAGAACAAACACTTCCCTCGTGAAAACACTGCAACTAATTTGAAAATGAACTGAAAAAGCATCTTTTATTTCTGTGCAGTGCTACTACTTTTTTAGGGTCACGCCCGGGGTGTTCAGGGCTGCTCTTGGTTTTGTGCTGGCATCACTCCTAGCTCTGCTTCTTTTTTTTACTATATATATATTTTTTATTTTTAAATTTTTATTAGTGAAACACCATGAGGTACAGTTGTAGACTTACAAATTTCTGTGCTTGGGTTTCAGTTATACTATGATCAAATACCCATTCCTCCACCAGTGCCCATTTTCTACCACCATGGGTTCCAGTATCTCTCCCACCCCCCATCCCACCCATCCCACCCTGCCTTTGTGGCAGGGCATTCCCCTCTGTTCTCTCTCTCCTTTTGGCTGTTGTGGTTTGCAAAAGAGGCATTGAGTGGCAATCATGTTTGGTCTATAGTCTGCTTTCAGCATTAGCTATGCTTCTATCGAGTCATCTCTTTGTCTCAAAGTGAGATTCTTTTATACAAGTTTAGGAATCATAAAATTAAAGGATTTTATGCTATTGACAATTGAACTATTTTGTAGACTATAAATCCATCTAATTAGTAGCTATTACTATTATAAGGGTTATATATTGACTTATTTATTACTTTGCTCATATTACTTTTATCAAAAATTAATGCAAATGACCATTATAATTTCTAGGGATTTAGTGCTCAGAAAAGTGATCCAATGTGTCTCTTAGAATACCTTTTAGGAGTGCAGATTGAATAGCACTACAGATGCCTCCTGGGCTGATGGCCCAGTGAACAAAGGCAGGACATTAGATATGAGATGCTCCTTGAGAAAATGACCTGTTAGGAGCCAGAGAATCCGCAATGATTGTTTACTTCATTGTGAAAGAATAAGAAACCATAGCTGTATCAAGATAGCTTACTCATGTATGTGTGTATACACACATATATTAAGTGTGTATATATATATTATATCACTTGTATATATACCTTTTCATTATTTGCCAAGTAGCTTTTCTTATTCTCCTAATTTAATTCTCCTCACCTTAAAAATTGTGTATTTTCTACTTAATGTATTTTCTACTTAATGTCTTGCTTATTTAGCAAAAATGGGAGAGATCACCTGTAGTGTTACAGTCAATATCATATGTTAAAATATATTTATTGGGGGAGACATGGAGAAATAGTATAGGGGTTAATATAGAGATTGCATGCCTTGTTTGCTGCTAACTCCAACTTGATCCCTGGCATCATCCATCCCAAACATTTGCTGGTGAGGCAGGCTTTGAAGGCCCTTGAGGGGTGCCAGGATTGAAACCAGGTTGGCCTCATGCAACGTGAGTGCCCTCCTCACCCTCTTTGCTGTACTATCACCCCAGCCCTTACGTAGTACTTTTGGGAGGCATGTTTAAAAATTATTGAGGCATCCTGATTTAAAATTGCATTAATATCAATACTTCATATAATGTTACTGCATGAACTCACCACTAGCATGTCATATCCACCTACCTCTGCTGCCTTCCCTAGGGCCCTCACCACTTGCTTAGACTTAAGTTCTGTAGACAGAACCCTAGGGTTTGTTTTCATTGTCCATTGTCTTTTCTCCTTTGTTTGAACTGGGGTCAGCCTCCTGCACAAGGCATGTACCTTAATCCCTGTACTATCTCCCTGTCACAAAGCCAATCTTATATCACAAAATTAATGGAGAATTTGTTTTATTTAAGCCAGAAATGCGATATCATATAATTAGACTGATTTTCATTTTTGAGAGTTAACCAAAGTAGCATTAGTACCAACAAATTTTAAAACACTTGTAGGAATTGAATTAACTACTGAATTATAATTTAGTTATAATGACAATGGAATGAATTATTTAGGCAAGTTAAAAAAGTTTTTTGGTCATCTAATTTCAGAATATATTATCGATAGGTTGTTTAATGTTATTTTCAACCTGTAATCCCAAATACATTATGTGGGTGCATTCTCAATCTATAAAAGTCCTATTTACAAAGGCAACTGCCATTATTAATCCAGTTGCCTTAAGGGTTGTTTGAGTTTCTCTGGAATCTTGATATGGAATCAAGGAACTGAACTATTAACATTTAAACTCCTTAAGTCTAAAGCGAAGACAGACTAGCAGGGCACACCATGCTTTACTAGTTGGCATATGCCATTTTTCTTCATTTTTTCGGTATAGCCACCTTTGCTAATATTCTTACATTTTATTTTCCAGTTTTGTGAGATTGTGAAGATAATTATTCGTGATCAGAGAAGTGTTCTTGCTTCTGCAGTCTTGGGATTGGCGTCTATAGTCTATCTGGGCTTGGCATCATATGCTACACTTCCTGCAATTTTTATTCCATTTATCTTATGGATGGCTGGCTAACTTCATCTCCCCGTGTCAGTGTGTGTATTCTGTGCGTAAATATGTTTATATTTATAGAGCACAAATCAGTATAAGTACTATTGAGAAAAATGTGACCTGTAACACTGTGTTCTGGATAAAAAATGTGATTAAGAATCACGCCAAGTGCTTACTGTGTAAGTCCCAAGAACAAAGGCTTTCTGAATCTATGCAGGCAGTTCCATTTAAAGCACTGTGCAGCTCTTGGAACTAAGAGAATTTGCGATAGGGATCATCATTACAAGAAAACCAGCACCAGAGAAGATGGCCACAGGAGATTATTTGTGTTTTATGTTTCTCTTATAATCATTGCTCTTCTGTTGGGCCTGAATTGGAAGAGAGGAAGATTTACCGAATGAGAACACTAAACTTTATTGTAAATTTATCCTGTTTCACTGAAAAACTTTATTAAAATATTTCCTTTGTTCATATGAAAACACGCTGGATGATTGGCAAAAAGAAAAACACAGAAAAATTCATTTGTTTTCATGTATTGTTCTGTATATGTTATCCAGTCAGTCATGATTACTTTAACTACTTCAAACCAGATTGGCAAAGGTTTTATGATAGGTAAAGTAACTGACTAGAACTATAGAAGTCTGTATTCTTGCCAAAATATCTACTATAACACCTGTTAAATAATTTGACTTGCCATTACTCAGTAGGAAGCTTGGCATCCTTTTTAAGTTTTTTCCCTTTTGGTTTGTACTTACTTTATACCACATTTAAGGGATGAATGAATGGAAATAGAATTAAACTAATGTTGATAATTGGAGTGTATATTCAACAATTAAATATAAAGATATCTATACACACACAGCAGATGAAACAAAAGTTTTGTTCTTGAGTCTTTTGCCATCTTTATTATCTCAACTGCTTTATATATTATACCACTTATCATAAAGCATTGGTAGAGGCAAATACTTTCATGGAACTTTTACAAGTTCCATTCCTTTTCTTAAGTCCTTGTTTCTAAGCTGTCACTTGCTTATAGTTATTGTATGGAGTTTACATTAAGCACTTACTAATGTACTGTATACTAATTAAAACATCCTCAGATTTGTTTTCCAGTCTGTTTTCCCCATTTTAATGCAAAATAGTTTACATCCTTTAAAAAAGGCTGTCTCAGCAACAACTACATCCAAACAAGTAGGACCTCACTGTTAGAAGTAATTCTGAAGTGTTTTCATCCTTACAGTTGTGGAACTGGATTACATTGAGGCATTTTAAAATCAGATTTAAGATGTAGCAGTGCTAAAGTAAGTGAGTACTCCAGCACTTTTGAAAAACTACCAAATTCTGAACATTAAGACACAAACCAGACTTGCATTTCAAGTATTAAAATTGCTTTATAAACTATCTAGAATCACAAAATAATGAGTCATATAATGAGGAGTATAAGGAAGGAGGGGCCAGTCACTTAGTGATCCAACTAGAACAAATTTAACAGCAGTTTGGTGTAACTGATGTTTTATCACCTCTTAATTTGCCCACAACAAATTCAGTTGGAGCTTAATAACTAAACATTGTGTTTACTCATTCAGATGTTTCAAACAATTAAAACATGAGATGACAACATCACAGGATGCAGGTGTTATATGTGCCTATTCTTATAAATTAAACTAATTCTAAGTGTACACGTAAAAGAACTCTCAATGAGAACTCCAGTTGTATTAGTGGATTTTCACTTACTGTCCATTACCCTATAACATTTGTTTAAATAAATTCTTTTTAAAAGAAAACTGTGTCCTCATAATTAACACCTTTTATTTTAGACTTTAGTGTTTCAGGTAGTAAAATCCACTGTCTGATGTTAAATCTCTGTTGGAAGATAATGATCCCTCATTAGATGTCAAGGAAGTTCTTTAGGTCAGAATTAACATAATTAGTCTTGACTCACTTCATACACTTAAAGCAAGATTTGGTTCATCATTTGTTTGAGACCTCATTAAATACTAGGCACTGACCTGTAGCAATTTTATAGCCCAGAATAAATATTTGTAGTTACCTGTTTTGAAGTATATACAGTGATGTGAAAATACAAAGACTGTTAAATATTCCTGAAGCTTCAAAGAATTTTATCTGAAGGAGATGATGTTGGGATTAAGCTGAGAAATAGGAAGTGATCTCATCATACCACTCATAGGAAGAGAGAACTGGATGAAGTGTTTATTTATTAAATGTACCACAATGCTGGAGTTTATTCAGTTTCTTAGAGGAAAGGGAATGTTTTTATTTTGTGGTGTTCAGTTTGATCCATAACTGACATAGTAGAGAAAGAAATTTCCGTTGTGATTATGGAAGAAAGTCTCTGAACTATTTATGTGTCTTTGTGAATTTCTCTTGACATCCTAAGATTCTTCCATGTGAACTGACAAGACCCTAATATTTATGTATTTCTATTCCGATTGTGAAATCACAATCAAGTAGTTGTCTGTTGTAATGTTTTTCTCACTTGTTTTGTCATGTGATCTAAATGAGGCAAACAATGACTGCAGGGGTTAAGATGAAATAATGTAAGTGTTTGGGATGAAAAGATAAATGAATGACACATGGATCTTTCCTGCAAACTTGATGGTCTCATAAACAGGCTATTGAGGCTATTCAGTACGGCTTCTCGAGAGAATAGGATAAGAAGTATAAGAAGTTGCCCTTACATAAGCCAAACTACTAACTGCTGAGACTTGGGACAGTGGGGTGTAGTTCAGAGAGGTAGATTTGGGGCAGGATGCTATTGAGACACCATGAACAGACATGTGAAAAATGACCTTAAGGAGCCTAGATAGAAGCATGAGGTACTTACTCTATTGTGTTGCCTAGGACCATTTGGGCAAAGGTGAGTGATGCAGGAGTTGGAGCATAAACAGATGCAACAAAAGGAAGCGGTGATCAAGAGGCTGGTCTTAAGAAGACCAAGAATTTGGGACTTCAAGAAAAAAGCAATGGGGTTTTGGGGCTCAGAAAGGTAACTCCTAAAACTATCGAGTAAGGGTTGGCAGGGGTGGAAGTAGGTAGAGGAAGGGGCAAGACAGGACAGAGGAGAGGTGTCTTAGATGACTATAAGAAGGAGAGCCACATGTCAAGAAAGTGCCTATAGATTTTAACTAAATTCTTGTATGTATCTCATGAATAACTCTTGGTGGGTGCCAGGGAAGAGTCATTTATCCTTTCCTACTTGAAACCTGGTTTTTGAAAAGTAAATCAACATGTATATTGACTTCTACGGATGAATGCTTTACTGGATATGTTTTTCTCTAAGGTCGTGCAAAAAAAGTATAAATTTGTTGCTTAATTATTTTCTTTAGAGCCAGGGTGATAGACAGGGGTATAGGAGCTTGCCTTAGATAAAACCAACCTTGGTTCGGTCCTTGGCATTGCATATAATCCCCAACCACCAACAGGAGTGACCCCATAGCACTGCCAAATGTTCCCAACTTCTTTTTTTTTCAGACAGTAGATATATATCTTGTTTCCCATTTTTAAATTTCATACTATTACTGTCAAGTATAATATAAATTATTTTCCTAGAAATATCAAAGTTTTTCTGATAGTAAAGATCATCTATTATAGACGAGAAGCATTTAAGAAATAATGGTGCCAATTTCTGTCTTATGTGACCATTTTTAGTTTTAACCATTCTATCTCTGTTATCTTGACTAATTTTAAATTTGGTATATATGCATGTTAAATAAACATTTTAGACAACAGTTTCTCGTCTTTGAATTTGACATTGTGTCAGATCACAGTTCTTAAACTTGGTAGACTGAAAAAGTTTCCTTTACCAAACACAGTTCTATGCATTTTAAATTAAATCTTTATGTGAACCTTGTCTTCACATTGAAATGATCTCTTACATACATCTTGGAACCTAAGCTGAGATTTGTGTAATATTAAATAAACAAATCAAACAACAACAAAAAGAAGCAAATAGAGCCTTGGGCAGAAACTCCAGAGCTAGATTTGTGATATAAAGCAGCCGGTGGCTTTTCTCTGGTTGTGGATGGTATAGGAATGAAGAATGAAGAGGAGCAAGTCCTAGAGCCAGTCTTGAAGATGCTTTGCATTGGGTCAAAATGGTGACTGGGTTGAATCCTTAAATATCTGATCACACTTCAGATGTGGGGAAGATATACTTTAGGATTACATAAACACTTTGAGCCAGACCCAGAAGTTCAACTTACCTTCATTACACCACCTGGGTGCCCTGAGGTTTCCCACAGATTGTACAACCTTTTCTTCAGAAGAACAGAATGACGTTTTTGCAGACCTTCAGTGTACAACAAACAGGGCCACAGAAGCCTGGACTACTTAGAATAAACTCCATCTTCTTGTTCAGCCTGATGAGAGAAAAAAAAAGACAAGTTAAATAGATTTTAAAATAATAGCTTGTATAGGCAGTCTCTTGGGTTTCTGACCCTGAATTAATATTGTCAAAGTATCTCACTAGACTGACCAGACCCAAACCTGTCTACCAGGGATTAGTAAAAGAGTGGAATGCCATTGATACCTTAACTGAGTTGTAAAGAACAAAAAAATATTTTTTTTAAAAAATTTTATCTCATATCATGTTTTATTTTTTTCCTTAAATTTTTATTAGTGAAACACCATGAGGTACAGTTGTAGACTTACACATTTTTGTGCTTGGGTTTCAGTTATACAATGATCGAATTGGGTCACACCTGGCAATGCACAGGGGTTCCTCCTGGCTCTTTGCTGAGGAATTACCCCTGGCGGTGCTCAGGGGACCATATGGGATGCTGGGAATCGAACCCGGGTCAACCGCGTGCAAGGCAAACGCCCTACCCGCTGTGCTATCGCTCCAGCTCCCCAAAAAATATTTTGAATGAGAGAGATTTCTCTTTCCCAGGCCATGCAAACCTCTGGACATAGAAATAAGGCACAGAGTCATAAAAACTCCATATCCCGTTGGACCCCTTTGTGATCAGAAAAATCATATGTTTGTTGTTGCTTTAAGATCAAGCTGCCTGGTACTGTTATAAAAACCTCACCATTTCTCCAAGGAAGGACAGTTTTACTTCATGCTGTGAGACAAGGGACAAAATCATATAGAACTGTACAAATAAAGGGTGAATGGAAAGAGGCTTTTCCCAAATCTTCCAAGTGCTTCAGGTGAATCTGATGAGCATGAAATACCAGGGTACAATTCAATTTTGAGGTGAACAATATTTTTATTATTTTTTTTAATGGATGGAGATTAAAGGCTGTGCAGACAAGTGCGGAGTATAAGAATCTCAACTAGCTTACCATCACTTATTCATGTTCAGTCCAAAAGTTACTGTGTCCCAACAAAAAAACCAAACTAGTTTGTGGATCGATAGCATAGTGGGTAGGGCATTTGCCTTGCACGCAGCCAACATGGCCGACACAGGTTCAATTCCCAGCACCCATATGGTCCCCTGAGCACCACCAGGAGTGATTCCTGAGTGCATGAGCCAGGAGTAACCCCTGAGCATCGCTGGGTGTGACCCAAAAAGCAAAAAAAAACCAATTCTATCATATTGATTATGAATTCAAACCCAAATATTTCTTTCCACTGAGTTTATGACTTGATACTTTTCTGTCTTTCTCCTACCGATAACCCTCAGTAGAGTAGAGTCTGCCTCTACTACTTCCTGGCTTTCCCAGAACCTTTGTGTTTTGTTTCTGACCCTGAATTAATATTGCCAAAGTGTCTCATTAGGCAGGCTAGTCATTATGTGATCTTGGTGATCATAATGAAAATAATTCTCTAGCTTTTAGACTGTTCTTTAGATCAGATCCCTTCAGATGAGTGATATCCTTGAGGCCATTGTTCTTGCCAAGTTGTGCAACGTTGTGATCCAAAGTATGGTGATCCCTCTGAAGGAACTCCTTGTAACTGACTTGCCTCTGAAGGGGGCTAGATGCTTTAATGTCAGTGGGAGGGTAATAATTTGGAAACTATAGAGAATGGTTTGGAGAAAGAGAAGTACTGAAAGCACACATTCAATCACCAAAATATTGAAAAGAAATGGAGACTGGGTAGATGTAACTTAATACAATGGGGATGAGGAAGTGGTGGAGGGAAATTGGGGACATAGTGGTGGGAAATGTACACCAGTGAAGGGATAGGTGTTGGAACATTGCACGACTAAAGCCTAGACATAAACAAGCTTGTAACTCTTATCTCATCGTGATTAAAAACAATTTTTTTAAGAGAATGAATTTGATGGGACTTGAGGTGGCACAAACTTTATGTATCCCAATCCAGGTCCACCCTATTCCAAAGTCCAACCTTCCCAATTAGACTGTAAGAACCAGTAAACCTGGTTCCACTTATCCCATAGACTGGACAACTGGTTCCTGTTCTGATGTCCAATGTGAGGATTTTTAGAGAAGATTGAAAGTAGGAAAGAGACTAGTGTATTATAATACCCAGCAACACAGATTTCCCCCCAAATACTTAGGTTTTCTTCACTGAGTCTTTTATGACATACCTTTCTTGCCCTCAGTCTCACCCCTCAACTTCTTTCTCACTTCTTCATCCTCATTTGTGTTGGATGAAGAATATAACTGGATACTTGACTGAATCCCCCTCCTCTGGAGAGGAAAGTATTTCTGAAAAATCCTCGTTTCATATAGAATCAGAGAAGCCCAATCCCCAAATTGATGAGGTAAACAGCTGTTCTACTTCCTCCACCCTACCACCCCAAACTCTCCTCTACACCCCAATTCTGCACTTCCCCTCTGCCTGGTCACCGGTGACTGATAGGGAACTTGAGCCAAGGTGAAGAGTTTTCCCTTCACAATAGACCTGGGCCTCCTGGAGGAGGCCTCTTGCAATGACTGCCTTGTGGAAAAGAAACACTGGAAGTGAATTGAGAACCAACTACCATGGGGAAAAACATTCTGGAAATGAAAAGAATGCAGACCAGGAGCAGAGAGCAGAATCAGGGAATCTCTGAAGGATCCCCCAGTCAACAGTGGGCCAGTGCCACCTCAGAGAGCTCAGCCAGCTTGTTGCCCCTTGCTGGTGCTCCTCGTGCTAACCACGGCAGATCTTGTCTCTAAATTAACGCACTTTTGAGGGACCAGGGGACAGGGAAAGTGGTAGAACACTCGCCTCCTCTGACATGTGGGACTCTTGAGTCCTGTTTCAGCCTGAGGGAACCATAGTTAGAGCACCAGATATGGAACTGACAAACGTGGTCCTCAACCCAATTTTTTTTCCCCAATGGAACGAAGGAACACACAATTTTGACATTATTGTCCCCTATATACTGCAGCTACAGGTGGAGAAACAAAAGATTTGTGGTTGTCGTTGTTGATGTTACAGCAAAGATTCTCAGAACACTGCCCTTTATTTGGTTTTCTGAGAGGCTTCAAACTGTAGCACTATAGCGCTGTCCTCCCATTGTTCATCTTTTTGCTTTGAGCAGGCACCAGTACATCTCCATTGTGAGACTTGTTGCTACTGTTTTTGTCATATTGAATACAACACGGGGAGATTGCCAGGCTCTGCCATGTGGGTGGGATACTCTCAGTAGCTTGCTGGGCTCTCCAAGAGGAATGAAAGAATCGAACCCGGGTCGGCCGCGTGCAAGGCAAATGCCCTACCTGCTGTGCTATCGCTCCAGCCAGGCCTCAAACTAATCCCCCCAAAGTTAGTCAGTTTGTCCTTTTGTTTGTTCTAGAAAGTGAGATTACTGGAGGAGATGAGTTGCAGTCATTTGTCCTCTTTGAACAAGAAATAATAAAAGTTTGAGATGAGTTTGAGTTGGAGAGTTTATGAGGACTGCAGAATTTGAGAGACCTACTTGGCTTAAACAGACTCATACACTTGACTCCAGGGGAAGAGTTTGGGAATTGAGCTCTTTCCTGCAAAATAAAGTTTATTTCCATATAATTGAAAAACTTGTGGATTTCCTTCTTGCATTTTACTATTTAATCATTTCCTATTTGAAAGCAAACTTGCTCTCTTTCCCTCAGGTTTGGTCTCAATGATCAAGGGTTTCTCAGTGATCAGAGCTCACCTGAAATTTGCTATTTTTTAGGCAAGGTTCCAGGGATTGTGCTCAGGACCTCCTATTGGTCTCTATCACTGGGT